CCTACTTTATTAAGGGGTGTGTGGAACTTCCAACTAGGCATGTCAGTTTGCCTATTTGATCTTTCAGTTTTATCACTTTTTTGCCTTAAGAATTTTGAAACATGTATGTTAGGTATGTAGACTTTTAGGATTTTTATGTTCTTGGGGAGCCAATCCTTTATCATTATGTAATGGCCCTTCTTAACCCCGATAGTATTTACCATGCTAAAGTGTATCTTGTCTGAAATTTATATCACTGCTTTTGTTTTCTTTTGGTTGGTGTTCGCATGCAGTGTCTTTCCCCATCATTTTACTTTTAACCTGCATATGTCTGTGCACTTAAGGTGATTTTTTAAAATCAATAGCATTTATTTGGATCTTGCTTTTTATCCAATCTGATAATCCCTCTTTTAAGTGGTATGTTTAGGCCATTTCTCTCAATGTGATTATTGATGTGGTTGGATTAAAATCTACCAGTTTGTTAGCTGTTTTCTATTTGCTTCATACTCTTTTTGCTTTGTTTTCCTTCCTTTTTTTTCTCCTCTGAGTTAATGAGCATCCTCTCTCTTCTGTTGAGCTATTTATTACATGTTCATATTTTATTATTGTTTTTTACTGTTCACTCTACAATTTATAATATATACCTTTAATTAACCAAAATCTGCTTTCACAGAATTTTATGCTGCTTCATATGCAGTGTAATGATCTAAGTTCAGTAAATGCCAATTACTTTATGGCTTCTATTGTACCACAAATTGTGACACATTTTACATTTACAAATGCTATAAGCAAATAATAGGTTTTCCTATTTTTGCTTTGAACATTTGAACACTTAGATCAGTTTAGAATAAGCATAAGAATAAATAATTTTTTTACTTTTATTTAGTTTTGATTGCTCTTTCTTTGTTTAAATCCAAGTTTCCTACTGGTGTATTTGTTTCACCTGAGGGCTTTTAAAATATCTTGAAGAGTTGGTCTGCTGGCAGTACGTTTCTACCATTTGTTTTTTGGCAAGAAAGTTTTTGTTTCTCCTTTATTTTAAAAAATATTTTCTTAAGTATAGAATTTTATGTGGACAGTTCTTGTCTTTCAGCACTTTGTTATCTACCTTCTATGATTTTGTAAAAGACTGCCATAATTCTTTGGTCTTCTGTGTATAATGCTCTACCTCGTCCCGCTCCAAACTGACTATAAGATGATCACTCTGACAGGTTTGTCCATCGTTTTTGTTTTTTGCTCTTTGTGGTTCTCTAACTCTCCAGATAGGAACCAGAAACTCACGTTTCAACATCTGAATTTTAGAAAAAAAGAAACCAGAAATCTAAATTTTGCATTAATTTTTATAATAAACTATAAGACTACCAAATGTTGGGTTATCCAGAGTGTAACCTTGACCTGTATGTTTCCAGGGGAATGCATTATCACTCTTTCTGTCTTCAGGGGACTTATAAATTTGACATACACTGACTCTGGATGTCATGTTTTTAATCAATAAAAATTAAAGGTCCCTCCTCAAGCTCTTAAGTTTTCCTCTTATTTCTAAACCTCCATAAAGTTTTGCTTTTGAGAATCACTATTTTCAAAACGTGATGGGAGAATTCAAATGTAATAAATCAGAGCATATTTTAAAATATACTATGATAATTATATAGAAGTTTCTAATCATAACTACTCGAGTAAAATGAATAAAAATTTGAATAATATTAAGATCTCTCAAATTGTTAGAAATCTTGCTAAAATAGGTTGCCATCAAATACTCATTCAGTATTGTGAAAATCAGCATGCTAGATTATTTAGGGCCATGATTTCCAAAACTTTTATTTCTCTCAGAACCTTCTGTTAAAAATTTAACATACTTTTTAACATGCGGAATGTCATTCATTAGATGTTAATGCTTTAAAAAATATGTGAAAGACACAGTAATTTTTATTTTATGCCTACTTTTTTTAATTTTTGTTGGTACATAGTTAATATATATTTATGGAGTACATGAGATACTGAGATATTTCGATATGGGCATGTAATGTATAATAATCACATAATGGAGAATAGGGTACCCATTCCCTCAAGCATTTATCCTTTGTACTGTAAACAATCTAATTATACTTATCCCTACATTTATAAGCATACCATTTAAAAATATAGGCTAATTTCTTTGCTTATGATGTGTCAGTTGGTTGCTATATATTTTCTCAATCTTTCTCAAAATAAAATATTTCGCTTCAAAAAAAAATTTTTGCTCCACATTAAGTGTTGTATATTAAACAAATAAAAACAACTAGTGTGGAGGCTAGGGATGGCAATTAAGAAGCCAAGTCATCCTTTGGTATATTAAAGCATTGCTAAGGACAGTACAAGAAAAGGTAAGAGATAATCTTAACTACAGAGTTTATTTCTAAAAGAGAGTTTATACTTGTAACTAATTATAAGGTGTGTGTAAGAAAAAGATTTGAAAATACTCATTCTCATATTGCATATTTATTTGTCCTTAAAATTGAATTATTTATTAAATACAATATATATTCAGTGCTTATAATTTTCACTAAAGTATGCTAGATACAGTCACATTTAATTTTTAATATTTGCAACTCTAGTGGAGGAGTTTTGACTAGGAGAGAATTACATCCCCATTGTATAACATAGAAAACTAGAGCTCAGGGAGATTAGCTTGTCCAGTCAACAAGGCAACTGAACAAGAATGTCAATCCATGTCTTCCAAAAGTTTCATTAACATAGGAGGCTTTTGATCTGGATTTCATTCTTACTCATTCTTCTGTATAATATGATTTTTCATCATTAATTATGACAAATACTGGACTTTGCTGTTTGCTTTTCCTCAGGATTGCTATGGAATCCATGTAATGAGCTCACTCTTTTTGAATTTTTAAATATAGTGTAACTTCAAAAACTAAATTTTTGCCAATGACTTTTATTTGAAGTCCTGATTAGATTTAGATATAGGATTTATATTGTGAAAGGATATATGGAACAGATACTGCATAGTTTTTACTTTTCTTTCTCTCCATCATATCTAAGGGAGACTCATCAATCCACTGGCATCATCATTAGTACTTCATGACAGTAATTATTAATTTTACTCATAGAGATATGAGAAGTTGTTGAATATTAGAGTCTCAAAGTATTGAGAATATTTTTCAGGGAAAATTTAAAGATTAAAAAATTATTTGAACTGGATGGTGTTAAGGTTTTTTCCCAGCCTTAAGTAAAAAAAGCACTCTGATGATGCTACATTTATGTAGACTCTTACTTCTCTACAATTAATTGATATTACTCATATTAAATTTTAAGGCATTTTATAGCAAGAAAAGCTGTCCTTGTCAGAAAAGCAATACCAAAGTTATGAGTACAATTTTGCAGTAAGTATTTTTATTCCATAGAATTCATTCATAAAGAGAAGAAAGGCTGGGCATGGCAGCTCACCCTGTAGTCCCAGTGCTTTGGGAGGCCAAGACAGGTGGATCACTTGAGCCCAGGAGTTCAAGACTAGCCTGGGCAATGTGGTGAAACCCTGTCTCTACAAAAAAATCCTAAAATACAAGCTGGATGTGTTGACACATATCTGTAGTCTCAGCTACTCAGG